TGAGACCAAACAGATCAAAATGTCAAGAGTTCGAGCAGAGAAGGGTTTACTGCAGGGGCCCAACAAGGAGAATGGGTGGTTCGTGTTCAAAAGACCCAAACTCCCCGATGGCTTTCAGGCAAGTGTTTTTAAAGACAGTGTTAGAGGAGAGGGTCATAGGATATGTGACCAGCTTGTGGACCTTCTTCTGATGAGTTCCTGGTGAGGTTACAGGGTGGTGTTTCTGAAACTTAACCTTCTGGTTCCAACCAGTCTGGGGTCTGCATGCTTGTGGTCAGCATGTAGTCACCATCCTCCACTTGGGTGGGGGTCTTCGTTTCCAGAGAACTACTCAACGGTATGCATCAGATTATTATCTATCCTCCTTTGGGAGGAACTAGGTGTCCCATGACTCTATTGTCCTCATCATTAACTTCTTGACCCTGCTCTTTGGAACTCAGGGAAGGCCTGGGAGGACAAAGCCTTTTTCTACAAACAAGAAACGGGAGACACAAAGGGGCTTTTGTACCCAGGAGGGCCCCACAGGGTCCTGCTTAGTTTCAATCCCCTCTTTTCTTTTGATACTCCTCAGTCTTGAGGGGAACAGGTGTAAAACTAGAAAGGGAATAAAGTTTTGGATAGAGAGCTTAATCATAACCTCGGCAGAGGAACTCTGGTTTAGCGACACTCAACTTCACGCCAGCCGAGTGACCCCACAGCCTCTGCTTTCCCTGGTTTGGTTTGACGGGTTTTTTTCTTCCTTTCTTTCAGAGGGCCTTTTTATGCTTGAAGTCATGATTGAGGCTTTGGATCCCACTGGAATACCAATTTTGTTTTTCTAGATTTAGTCTGTTATTTTTGTTATTGTTGGTTATTTCAGTAGAAAACAAAATCTTACTTCATTCTTTTATTAAGAAATGACTCAGCAATTGCAATGTGATGGGACATTTTTCCATAATTTTCGTGGATAAAAAATTTTAACACTTTGTCTCCTTTAAAGTTTCTTTTCCCCCAGAATTTCATTTTTACTCCTTGGTTGACTATGTAGTTTAGATTCAAACTAGGGTCTATGATTATGTTTTTAATTTCTCTTTAAGTAGAAATAAGTTAAAATTAGGAGTAGTATTGAATTTTCACCTCAAAATTCTCTTGTAATAATAACATCCTCCCCATTGCCCTCAAATTTAAAAAAAAAATTAAATCCTACATGAAACAGAGATGAATGGTTCATGTTTAATTCAAGTTAAGTGAAGTATGAAAAGGTTTGTTGAAAAAAATTGCTTAAATTTTAGTGATAAGAATTTCTAATTCATGGGCGATTGGGATTGACATGTATACACTGATGTGTATAAAATTGATGACTAATAAGAACCTGCTATATAAAAATATAAATAAAATAAAATAAAATAAGAATTTCTAATTCAGGAGCTGGAAGGTAGAACTGGAACAGGTGAGAAAGTGTCCTGGGTTTAGGTCCCCATTAGTTGTGAGATATTGGCCTCATCTCTAAAAGAAGGATTAGATTAGGCACCTTAGGGGCTACTCCTACTCAATTTATTTGTGACTTTATGAAGTTGTCGCTTTAAACACTGTCTGGACAATGATATGCCTCGGGTTTCTAGTGATCTTTAGGTCAGCTGATTCCTAGCCATTCCCTCAAAGTCTGCCTTCATCTGGATCCTAATTTGGTTTGGCATTCTCTAGTGACGGAAAAGGCAACTCACGCTGGGCAGCCTCCTTTGCGGCTCCCCCATCGAAGGTTGACAGCTCAGCAGCCTTCCTGTTCCAGAGCACAGGACGCCTTTGCTTGGGACTGAGCTGAGGCTGCTAATTGTTCCACCTCCAGGATCTCATTTAAGCCCAAACTGCCATCCCAAAGGTGTATTATTCAGTCATCTGTCAGACCCATCGAGAATGGTTATTTCAGCTTGGAAGGGAAATTTAAAATGGAGAAGTAGGTTGTTTTCTTTTCTAGTGTTATGTTATAAGCAGTTGCTAAAACAAAAACAAAAACGACCCTGTGTCTTAAGTTCAAAAACGTCATAGCTATTTAATTTATTTATTTCAAACCAAGAGCTGCTCAGTGCCCAATGCCATTTACATTTGAAATGTAAAGCGGATTGTATCCTGTCCATTCCCTCCCTGGCTGCTGATGGAAAAAACTAGGTGTTGACATGTCCTTGTAACAAATTATTCGCTCGAAGAAGCTTCCGTGTCACTTAAGGAGTTAAAAATAGAGTGTAACATTTCTCAAACTGTGTTGGCTGAGGTGACTTCAGGAGCTCCCCGGGGCAGTTAGGAGGCTGCTCAAACCCCTGCTTGAACAAGGAGGTTGGATGCCTTTCAAGATTTTTGGTGGGAAAAGGTTCTGCTGCAAATGGACCCAGAGGGGAAGCACAGGAGAGAGGGAAGGAGACCAGCGAGGTGGTGGGGGGGGGATTAATGGTCCTTTGGGCTCAGTGCTGTAGTAGAAACATGGAATGTTCATTACTAGCACAGAGGCCAGGGGTGAATCTACAAAGTGAGTAAGCTTACTGGGGAGCTGGGAGTGAAGGGCATTCCAGGCCAAGAAAACACACCATCAGGGAGACAAAAAACAATGCAATACCTTTAGAGAACGCATTTTAGTGTCAGGGACCACAGCATAAGAGCAGGTGGGAGCCCACCAAGGTGGCGTGGCAGACAGGGGGTTAGTTCTTAGAGGTCCCTGCAAGACATACCTGGGTGTTCCCCTTTCCTGGCTGCATGGCACCATTAAAAGAATTTCAAGGTGAATCAGCTGTGCGACATCAGCCAGACCCTCTGTATTTGTCTGCAGTCCCCTACACTCCTTTAGTGCTTTAGTAGAGAAATAACCATTGTTTAAGGTATGATTTGTGGCCCTTACTTTAAAGACTTTCTATTCTCGAAGAGAAGCTAATGACTCCTGTTAAGGTCACCATCACAGCATCGTAGACTTAACTGAGACCTGGACAACCCTGGAGGTCATGCAGTGTCTTATCAACAGAGGGCACTGTTGCTACTTCACCTTTGTGGGAGATTGACCCAGGCTCTGCAGGAAGTTAGTATTGCTGGCCCCTGGGTACTAAGTGGCAGTAATACTACTCTCCCCACTCAGTCATTATGAAAACTAAATTTCCAACTAATTTTCCTAAATTTCCTTGGGGTGGAAAGGGGGGGTGTTAACAGTGACACCTACTCCCCCCCACCTCTGACCACTGAGCCCAGGCTCCCCACGTTTTGCAGATGAGGAAACCAGGGTCCAGATGGGTTACATGACTTGCTCCCAGTGAACCAGCTGGTCATGGGCAGAACCAGGCGTCTGGAATTCCGGTCCAGGGCTCTTGGTGTGGTAATGCTTCAGCCCCCTCCCTCAATTTCTTGAAAGTTGAAGTACGCCTGTGACCCTATTAGGTTACTGATTTAATGTCTTTTTCTTTGTGCTCTTTTCTGAGTGAGGAGGAAAGGGAGGGAGCAGAATGGAGGTTGAAAGGTGAAGGAAGCACTATTAGAATCAGGTAGATCCATACACAAAGCTGAGACATATGAGAAGAAAAGGGGCAGGCAGCACCAAAGCTATCTCCTCCAGCTTCAGGTGGACATGACTCCACCACCTGCTGTTGTCGTTCATCCATAAACATGCCACCCCATCTACGGGCTAGGTACCCACTATTCCAGGCACTGGAAATACAATGATGAGACACAGTCCCTTCCTTCATGAAACATATAACTTAAGAGGGAAGACAACACTTGAAATTAATCACAAGACAGGACTATAAATAATTATAGCCAGCATCTGCTGACAGCTCTTCTGTGCCAGGTACTGTCAAGCACTTTATATACATTATCTCATTCAATCCTCCTTGCAATACTATGAGTTAGGTACTATCATTATTTCCATTTTTCAGACGTGGAAACTGAGGCCTAGAAAGTTAAGGGATTTGCCTAAGGTCGTGCGGCTGGGATTTGAATCCAGCTGATCTTGGAAGGTATATTATACTGCATAATAGCAATGGTAGGTAAAATGTATTGTAGAAGCCACATAGAAAATGCATTTAGAAGTAATGGATAGGGCTTCCCTGGTGGCGCAGTGGTTGAGAGTCCGCCTGCCGATGCAGGGGACACGGGTTCGTGCCCCGGTTCGGGAAGATCCCACATGCCGCGGAGCGGCTGGGCCCGTGAGCCATGGCCGCTGAGCCTGCGCGTCCGGAGCCTGTGCTCCGCAGCGGGAGAGGCCACAGCAGTGAGAGGCCCGCGTACCGCGAAAAAAAAAAAAGACCATCTTTACTACTGTCTGAGAGTCAGATGTAGACTTTATGTTTCTCAAGGAGCAAGTGCAGAGAAAGCTCCTCTTTGGGATTGCCCCCTCACCACACCCTGTTCTCTTTCAGTTCCTTGTGGTTGCTGCTTCACCGTGGTTGCAAAGACCAGGGATACCTCCTCTGGGGAAGCAGTTCGTTATGCTCAATACTGTCTCTTTGATCACAAATTCGGATTGATTGCTATCTGTTTTGTTTTAGGCCCCCTTTTAAGATGAAGATAAATTAATAGTCTGAAGTGAAGAGAAGCAGAATCATCCATTTGAGACTGTTACAAGATATTTTACTAATCGAGGAAACTAAAGTTTCTGCACATACCAAGTGTTTTCCAGCCGAGGAGATGCTTATGTCTCCTCCACCCAGATCTAGCTCCCCTTCCATGTAAATCCCCCTCTCACTCAACCCCTTATCTGACACCTTGAAGAGGAGGTAAACCAAATTATTCGACATTGTCTCTTTGATTTACCTTGACAACCACTGTGGAAACAAACCCAACAGACCAAGTGATGGAGATGTTTTACAAAATAAACATTAAATAGAGATTGATCTTCAAAGCATTTAAGATTTCTGTGTGTCTGTCTGTCTGTCTGTCTTCCCCATTGGCACTCTGTAACATTGATTTATGTAATTGTTCTTTACAGTTGAAATCTAACGCTAATATTACTCATCAGAACTGAATTATTTTTAAAATTTTTTTTACAGGGTCGTCATGTCAAAACGGGCCAACTTGCAGCCATCAAGGTTATGGATGTCACAGGGGTAATGTATCATTATCTTGCCGTCTCAAACTTATATATGTGTCATAGAGAAGTTAGTGATAGAGAAAAATCACTTTTTGGAAATAGAATTTTTTTAGACATCCAAGACCTTTCCCCACTTGTGCTTAACATAAACATTAAGAGTATTCAGCAGCTGACCGAGATGACCATGGGTAAATCACTCTAATTAAATTAGATACCTACACACTGCCTTATGTAGTCAGAGTGAAGAACATGTGTGCCAATAATTTACATAAACACAGCCAAGGACATTTGCAGATGAAGACAGAACAAGGATTTGAAGGTATTAAGAGAATAATACTGAGATTACACAGAAGAGGTGGGTCTTAACAGTTTTCCCCAAAGTCCACCTAACACTGGAGTAGACAAGAGTTTGGATAACTCTAAAATCCTAGTAGGATGTGTAACATGGATATTTTCCTCCCCAAAATGTTATAGACCAAATAATCACAATAACTACAAATACTTATTATTATAGAGCGACACTGAAACAAAATTTCTGGCCTGGATGATCAAAAGCAATCTAAGGAATAGACTTTATTTTAAATACAATCTTATGCTTTCAATCCTTTTTGCTAGGTCTATTTAAAATATTTTAATGCCTTTTCTAGAGTACAGAGCAAAAATCAGACTTGAAAGGACTTATTGGAAATCAAAAGCATGTTAATGATTTTCGATTGTCCCCAGGGATTTTTCTAAGATGTGTCAGCTGTACACAAAAGCTAAAAGACCAAAGTCTTCCGTCTGGCCCAGAAGTGGATTATTTAATGTAAAGAGATGTAGAATGAATGGGTCACACAAAGGTATCAAGAACCAGTATACAAATAAGAAAAACACACAGTATGTCCGTAGGTCAGACTTCGGTCCGTACCTTCTCTGGTCCAGTTTGCTACCTTTGATAAGTATACATTATATGCTACACTATTAACCATGATACTAATCTCACTAATTTTCATTTATACCACACATTGTACTGTCTTCCTTTCCTTACTTATCTGAATTCCTTTTTAAGTTCTATGCATTTTAAAAATTGTATGCATTTTTAACAAGAAAAAATTTTGTTCCCATATGTTTAGAAGAACTTAGATAAAGTAATTCTTCCTTTTATTTGTCCTAAATGCATTATTCAAATTTCAGAGCTTGCAAACCAGTTCAAATATTTCATCCCAATTAGTTTATTAATTCACCTGGCCTTTGAGTAATACATGTAGATTATATTAATAAGGTTTACGTTCTGCCACTTGCAAGAGAAAACTCAAAATAACAGAGGCTTAAGTATGATGGAAGTGTTATGCTCTCTCATGTTAAAGGAGTCTAGGGGCGACAGTCCAGGGATGTGTAACAGCAATGTGATAGAGTAGGCGGGTGTTTTTATCTTTCTGCTCCATTGTTCTGACACATGGCTTCCACACTTAAGGTCAGTTCTGTGATTTAAGGTAACTGTTGGATTTCCATTGATCACATTCTTTGGCAGGCAAAAAAAGGCAGTACGGGCAGTGGGGGGGAGGGGCTGGGAGCAGAGGGTACAGAAGACAGCCCCTTCCAGTGAAATTTTTCTACTCGCATACGTTTCTATTTACTTCTGCAGTCATTGGCTACCTAGCTGCAAGGACGCTGGGAAATGTGCTCTTTCATTCTACCAACCTGTCCAGTTAATTTGGGTTCTATTATTAGTCAGGAATGAAGAGGGGATGGATACTTGTATTGTTAATTAGCAGGGTCTGACACAAAAATCAAGATCAGATACTATCAGTCTCTACACAGAAACCCATTAGAGATGTGTAAATCTTTTACAAAGCTCCCAGCACAAAACAAATCAGAATTTATTTTGCAATTCTGCTAAAGTCATACTACTGTATTTTCCTTGAATTGAATAGGATCTCCACATAATGTGATGCACTTGGCAGTTGAACAACTAATGGATGTGGATGGAGCCCAAGACATTAATTCTGTAAAGTTCTGTTGTGTGGGTCTGCAGACTACAGTTGAGTTCCATTGACGTCATTAATCTCAGTGTACAAAGCTGTATATTGATGCACAAAGTATGACTCGAGAGCATTGAGTATCACTTTTTCTGGTTCTGTTTGTGAGATTTTAAATTGTTCAAAGAATCATTTACTATTTCTAGACCACCTTGCTTGGAATCAAAAAAGTTACACAGCAGTTTATCCCAGAGTATGTAGTTTCAGTTTAAACAGTGTCAGTTAGCCTCTCTAAACTGGGTTTCACAAGGCAACTGAGACCTACAGAAAATGATTTAGAGTCTATTTTCTCAATTCTCCCCAGCATGGTACAGAGCTAGCGCCATTTTCAATGCATAGGAGAGTCAGTCCATTGCTTACAATGGACGCTTTATAGTATTTAGGCTTAATTCTCTCGGGGGAACCTCTGTTGAAAGGGCTGGATAGTTCCTTATTTAGGCACATCATTGGCCATTATGTAACCACTGACCCCTGACAAAGGCAAACATGGCTACACATCAGGAAATGGTTTTCTTATTTCCCATGGTGTATGATCCAGCATCAAATGACTTTTGTATCACCCCCTTACACATCACAGTCAACATAAAATTTCCTTTGTGAAACTCATGTGGTGTCCTCAGAAAACAATCTATTTCATTTTGTCATGTTGTCTTTTGTGTATTATGGAACGCTGCAAAAGCTTCTTACCAATTATTATAATTGTGCTCATTATAGCTGCTCTGAGATGAATTCTCAAAGGTCATCTTTGTTAATTGTTTGCAGTGATCTACTGTGAAGTTACTACAGTTTATCGTAATGAATTTGATAAAACTATAAGCTTGAAATCAATTTTTAAATTATTGTTTTCTTTCTATACCATTTCCTTTTTTAGAAGAAAATAACCATAGAGAAAACTGGATATAATGCTTATGTTCTTCTGTTTTACAGCTGAGACACTTCCAAATTTGCTAATATTTGCTTCAGAATTAGGGCTTAAACTCAGACTCAGTCTTTGAAGTTCTTTTAGTTTCTGAAATAATTATGAGAATTTCTGCATTTTGTCGCTTTCTGGGGATTTCTTCCCAGCTGGATGTGTGTACTTTAATCATCTAAACAAAATTGGCCCCTCTCAGGTAGTGTTCCTCAAGGTGGACAGCCAGCATTTACGGACTGTCTGCACCCCTTGGGGTGTTCATCAGAAAGGCAGATTCCTGGGCTTGCTGCAGAATTTCTGGGTGGAAGAACCTGCCTTTTCTCCAAGCTCCTCAAGGAGCTTCACGCACACCAAAGTCAGAGGAACACTTTTCTAGGGATTCGTATTTACTGCTTTCTGGCTACCAAGTATGAAGAGACCATGATTCTTTGATAATCCTGCAAATAATACCCATCTTCATTTGAACCAAAATTCCTGATGTAAACTAGTCCCTTTACAATGATACCTTGAAGCCCATGTAGGACTTAATAAGATAATAACTTACTGTCATAGGCTTTCTCATCTTTACAGTGACTGGTTGTGATCATTACTCAGGACACTTTGGGTTGTAGTACCGAAGCCCCACTCAGACTAGATGAAGCTGAAAACAGAATTTATTGTCTTGTGTATATTTTTTTAAAAAAAGAAAAGGCTCAGCAAGATCTAGGAAGTCACATGACTGATTAGGAATTTTGTATCTCTCCATCTCTGGGCTCTGCTTTCTTTCTACCAGCAGCTCCAGGCTCATGTTCTAATGACTTCATTACCCTTAGTCCCAGCAAGAGTGCCAGTGTGGACATCAGTGGCCTAGCTTGGGTCACCTCACTATCCGACAACCAAACCCTGTTTCTCTCCAGCCACATCTGGGTTGGGTGCCTGGCCCTGGAACCTACCACAGGGACAGAGAGTTGGAAAGGATTCCTCAAATAAAAAACTAAGAACTGTTAAAGGAAAGGGTAGGATAGATGCTGGGCAGGGAAAAACAAGAGAATTCAGTGTATTACTGTAAGATCAAATCATTTTAGTAGATGTATTTAAAACAGACTTAGTCCTTAAGTAAAGTGCCTCTGTATTACATTTTTTATATTTCAGCCTGAAATAATAATAATGGTAGCTAACATTGATGGAGTGATTATTATGTGCCAGAACTCTTTACAATACTTTCTGTATATTGATTCACTGAATGCCCTTAACAACCACCAGACTCCATTATTAGTTCCATTATAGAGATGAGAAAACCAGGCATACTAAGTATCTTGCTCAATGTAACATGTAAATGGTGGAGTGAATATTTGGACCTGAGTATTTTAACTCTACTCTTTAAGTCCACTCTGTTTCTCACACTGCCATAGGTCTTCATTTAACATAGAAGGATATTTAGTGTTTAATTTAATATTTATTTGATAAACATTTACTAAACACCTACTTTATGACAGACACTTGAAATTCAAAAATGACAAAGTGGTTCTTTGCCTGAAGGGGAGCTGACAATAATACAACCTTGCTCTAAATATTTGTAAGTAAAGCTAATCCATTTTATAATAAAGTCGTACAAGTCATAAATAATGTTACATATAAAGTTTGATGTGACAGTGAGGGGTAGTAATTAAGCCCAGGAGGAAAATCAGATGAGAACGTTCCTGGCCAAGAAAACCATCTGTGCCAAGGTATGGAGGCTGAGAAAGGTGGAACATGTTCTGGAAACTATCACATAGTTTAGTTTTAGTATAAAAAATGTGCTGAGGAGAGAGTGATACGAGGGGAATCTGGACAAGTTAGGGTCAGGTCATGAGCGAATTGAATGCTGTGGCAAGGATATTATAAGGTTTTCAAACTTTTTAATTTTCCCAGTAGAACCCTGAGAGCAAAGAGTCTTAAGCAAAAACCCATTAGATAGAAAAGATACAAGGCGGGTTGTTTTTTACAAGGGGCAAGAGGCTGTCAGTCCTGGCCCCGTCCTCACACCACTGCTAGAGCCAGTGTGGAAGCCGGAAGTTAAATAGCAAAGTAACAGGATGGGATTTGCCTACTAGAAGGATCCATCTT